TTTTCAAAATAGGCATTTACAGCTATAAATTTCTCTCTGAGCACTGCTTTCACTGCTCATCCAAAGTTTTCGTACATTGTGTTTCCATTTTTATTTATCTAAAAGTATTTTCTAATTTTCCTAGTGATTTTCTTTTTTGACTCATTGTGGTTTAAGAGTATGTTGTTTAATTTCTACATATTGGTGATTTTTTCCCCAGTTGTCCTTCTGTTATTGATTTTAACTTTATTCCATTCTGGTTAGAGAAGATACTTTGTATGATTTTATTCTTTAAATTTTCTGGGAATCGTTTTATAGCCTAACATCTGATCTATCCTGGAGAATGTTTTATGTGCACTTCAGAAGAATGTATGTTCTACCATTGTTGGATGGAGTGTTCTGCACATTTGTTAGATCTAGTTGGTATATAGGGTTGTTCAATCAAGTCCCCTATTTCCTTAGTGATCTTTTGTCTAGATGTTCTACCGATTCTACCCGTTACTGAAAGTGATATTTGAACTCTCCAACTATTATTGTAGCACTATCTATTTCTTCTTTCATATCTGTCAGATTGTTTCATATATTTTTGGACTCTGTTTGGTGCATATGTATTTACAATTGTTATGTTTCCTTGATGAATTGACACTTTTATCAATACATAATGTCCTTCTTTGTCTCTTGTACCAATTTTTGACTTAAAATTGATTTTATCTGTTATTAGCCAAGCCTCCCAGCTCTCTTTTGGTTACTATTTAAATGGAATATCTTTCTCTACCCTTTCATTTTCAACCTATTTGTATATTGCGGTCTAAAGTGAGTCTCATTTAAGCAGCATAAAGTTGGACCATGCTTTTTTAAATTCATTCTGCCAATTTCTGTCTTTTAGTTTGTGAGTTTAATTCACTTACGGTTAAAGTGATTACCGATGAGCACTTGTTTCTGCCATTTTGCTATTTGTTTTTTATGTCTTAAATCTTTTGTTCCTCAGTTCCTCCACTATTACCTTCTTTTATGTTTGGTTTATTTTTTTCCTCATGTACCATCGTGATTCCCTCATTTTTCTCTTCTGTGTTTTTAAACTTATACAATCTAGTTTGAAATGATACCAACTTAGTTTCAATAGTGTACAATGACTCTGCTGCTACTTAGCTCTGTCTGCCTCCTTTTGCTGTGGTCACAAATTACACCTTTATGCATATATATAAATTCTTATTTTATGCATATATCTTTTAATCCATGTAGGAAATAAAAAGACAAGTTATAAACAAAATATATAATAATAGCTTTTATATTTACCTATGTAGTGACCTTTACCAGTGATCTTTATTTCTTGCATGTCTTCAAGTTACCATCTAGTGTCATTTTGTTTTAGCCTGAACAACTCCTTTTAACATTTGTTGTAAGGAAGATCTGCTAGTGATGAATTTCATTCACTTTTATTTGTCTGGGAATGTCTTGCTTTCACCTTCATTTCTGAAGGCTAGTTCAGCCAGGTATAGAATTCTCTCCTGGTTGACAGTACTTTTCTTTCAGCACTTTAAATATATCATCTCACTGATTTCTGGCCTTCATGGTTTCTGATGAGAAATTGGCTATCACTGTTATTTAAGATCTTTTGTATGTGATGATGAGTCGTTTCTTGCCACTTTCAACATTTTTTCTTTGGCTTTTGACAGTTTGATAATAATGTGTCTAGGTGTGGATTTCTTTGAGTTTAAACTCCTTGGAGTTCATTGAGTTTCTTGGATGAGTATATTTCATCAAGTTTGGGAAGTTTTTGGCCATTCTTCAAATATTTTTCTGCACCTTTCTCTCTCCCTTTCTATAGGACTTCCATATTTCACTTGTTGGTACACTTAATGATGTCCCGTAGTTCCTTAAGTTCCGTTCATTTTCCTTCATTCTTTTTTTTCTTCTCCGACTGAGTAATTTCAATTGTTCTGTCTTCAGGTTTGTTAATTATTTTCTCTGTGTGCTTGAACCTGCTGTCAAACCTCTTTAGTGAATTTTTTATTTCAACTGTTGTACTTTTCAACTCCAGAATTTCTATTTGATTCCATTTTGTAATGTCTATCTCTTTATTGATATTACCTGTTTGTTCACATATTTTTGTCCCGATTTCCTTCAGTTATTTATTTCTTTAAGTATTTATAGCTATAAATTTCTCTCTGAGCACTGCTTTTACTGCCTCTCATAAGTTTTGGTATGTTGTGCTTTTATTTTCATTCACCTAAAAGTATTTTCTGTAGTGATTTTCCTAGTGATTTCTTTTTTGACTCATTGTGGTTTAAGGGCATGTTGTTTCATTCCTGATTTCCTTTAGTTCTTTCCTCAGCTCTTTGAGCATACTTAAGACAGTTAATTTAAAGTTTTTGTCCAGTAAGCCCAATGTTTGGGGTTCCTCATGGATGGTTTCTGTCAATTTCTCTCTTTATTTTCTTTTTAAGAATGGGCCATACTTCCCTGTTTTTTGTTTTGTTTTGTTTTGGTATACTTTGCAATTTTCTGCTGAGCACCAGACATTTTGAATGCAGTGTAATGCATTGAATGCAGTAACTCTAGAAATCAGATGCTCCCCTTTCTCCAGGGATTGCTGTTCTTACTTGTTGAATGCTGTAGTTGTCCATTTGTTTAGTGACTTTTTCAAACTATTTTTGCAAAGACTATGTTACTTGTGTGTGTACTTTGGTGACTACAGAAGTCTCGGTTCTGTTATTAAGAACAGCTAAGAATTTCCTTAAGTACTTGGATCCAATAAGGAAAAAAAAAATTCTGTCTAATTTCTTTTGAGAGACACTACTTAGGAAGCCTGTTAGCCATAGGAGGTTGAAACAATGGCCTGCTCTGTTTGTCTCTCAGTGAACTGACAGGCAAATCAAAACCGCACTCTCAAATTTTGGAGGACAAAGTTCCTACCCTGGCACCAGCAGGCCACTCCATAACACAAGCCATTCTCTCCATGGCTACCTGGCCTGGGGCTGGGGCATGGGCAGTGGTAGCTATTAAGTGCCAAAATTCACTGAAATTTACCATTCTTTTTTTTTCATCAAGCATTCCCCTGGACACTGTGAATGTATAACTAGACTTCAGAGATCTGAAATAGATGATTTTGACAGTTCTTGCCAGCTCAATAGTTGATTTGTTAGAGGGTCTGATTCTTGAATTGTCCTACGCTGCCATCTTCTGTGATATCACTCCTGTATTGTTTCTTACTGAGATAATATTATCTCAATATTGCAATATTATACTAGTATATATTGTAAAAAGAACTTGTTTAGGAGAAGAGTGGACTGATATGTGTATGAGTAGTGTATGTATAGTTGCTTTTTACAAGTTATTTACCATTTTACCTGTCCACCTTACAAATTAGATAGTTGACCAAAAGACTGAATTTTGCATGTGTATTGTTGCCACTGAATATCACTACATTGTAATTTGTGGCTCTGCAGAGAAAATGGCATTTCTTTATTATGTCTGTAGTTGGTCCAGTCTTTTCCTGTTACCCTTTATAGGAGATATACTGATTAGCTGGGGGGAAAATATCCAGTACAATTTAAAACTTAGACCAGTGTTATAACTTAAATAGTCTCTTTAGGCAGTGTCCAGCTCTCTCTGAGATAAAAATCCTCAGTCTCTCAGTCTGCATTTTACCCTGGGATGGTTTAAGGGTTTGGGGTGTGGTGTGTGGCCTATGTGATCTCCTGGCAGTGGGAAACTGACCATTTCCCTTGGTTTGAGTCTGCTATTTCCTCTGGTCTCTGGGGTAATATCCCTTAACCTCCTAGTTATGTTTGCCTTGCTGATATGTGCTGATGATGTACTGGCTGGTATAACTCATGGTTGGGCCTTTCTAGTTGATCAGAACCTAGTGGTGCTCCCCAGCTGGCTCAACCTCTCTTTGGTTCCTGCTCTCTGAGCTCTCCTGGATGTCTGCCTTGTCTCTACCCAGCTTGCTGACCTGGAACTTCATCCACAGCCTTTGCTGCAGGATCATTGTGTTCTGTAGCCAGCCCCATGGCTAGCCCGCTAGCTCAGAAAATCTGAGTCTCCAATTTACCATGGCTTGACCATGCTTGAAAAAACTGTCTCTCAAGACAATGGCCAGTCTTGCAAAACTATGGACTTACTTTGTAATCTTTCTGTTCATGTCAGATGCTGCATGTTACTTCATTTGATCCCTTTGCACTTCTTTTACTAGTAAAACATAGTAGTTCCCCAGATGGACAGATGCTTCGAGAAGACTAGGGCAAAGGTCAAGCACCTTTGGAAAGAAGGGCTGACTGGTTAGCTCAGTTGGTTAGAACATGGTGCTGATAACACTAAGGTCCATGGTTTGATCTTTGCATCATCCAGCCATAAAAAAAGCAAACACACAAAATAACAAAAAAAAGCACCCAGGTTCCCAAGCCTGAGCCATGCCCACCCATGTGCACATCCAGCCCAGCAACAACTGAGCCACTACCAGAAACTCCCCAGACTCCTGAGCTGGAGTGGGAAGAGCCCCGCAGGCCTCAGCCATGCCCTTCCACTCTCCTCAACCAGATTAGCAAAGGAGCCAGTCATGAGCCAGCTCCGCCCCTCCACCCGCACCTCCGTCCCTTTACCCCCACCCCCACTGCTCCACAACGACATCTTAGAATGTAAAATAATAATAGTAATAATAAATAAATGTTAAAAATAATAATAAAAAAACAGACAAAACAACGTTGAAAATAATTCGTAAACAGTGTCACAGTTACACGTGTGTATATATACATATATGAGGACATTATTTAAACAATCAAATGTAATTCTAAACATACAGAAGCCTTAAATTTAAGAAATATGGGATCTTTAGAGAGTTATATGTGGTGTGTATATATATATATGTATATATATTATATGTATGATTATATTATGTATTATATAATATAGTTAGGATACATATATATTTGATAGTAAGAGGTTTGGTTTCTGTGTATTAACATTTTCCTATGACTAACACTACTGTGATTTCATGCACACATTTTCTTCTGTTGTAGGACAGTTCGTGTTTGGTTAAAGAGAGACAGTGGACAGTATTGGCCAAGCATATACCATGTAATGCCTTGTAAGTATCTGGATCTCTGTCTTGAAAAATGAGACATGCATTCTAACTCCCCTTTTTTCCCAAATTACATTCTTTGTCTTCCCAAGTAAGGAAACTGAAGGTTGAATTCTCATTATAATGGAAATTACCATGTTAAATCATTTAAAATTTTCTAAGGCTCTCACTATGTAAAGTAAGAAAATTGTTCTGAAGTTGACTATATAGTTTCTGAATAAGATTAATGGAAGAAGGACTACAGCACATAGGCTCTCTGAATACAGCAGTCTGCCTCTGTTTTCCAAGTTTTTGTTTGACTGTTTTGTAATGTATATCCTTGGACAATTTAAAATTTTTTCCAGTGATTACATTTGTGAAGTAAATTTGTCCTTGCATTATTTTTGTTATCATTTATTCAAATTCAAGACATTTAGCATTGACCATTCAGCTCTCAAAAAGATTTGGTTGGAATTGAAACATTCTAATTAGAAGTTGGTCTCATTTCCGCAAGATCTTATCTGAGAAATATTTCCATGTACTGATAAATAATGAATCTTCTAAATATACTTTTTTTAAAAAAAGATATGAGTGCTACTTAGACTGGTCCACTGGCAGAAGTTCCCCTACAGGTGGAGAAGAGCTAGCCCCAAAAATAGGAAATTTCTTTTTATTCTAGCGTTTTAGCTATAAAATTAAGTTTGGGCATCCCATTCTTTGTTTATGTTAGTGTAAAACAATTATTGAAATTTATTACCACTTGTATTAAACATTTTCCTTATTCCCCTCCCTTCAAATCTTAATTAAAATTGACACCCTAGAAAAATCTACCAGGTTTGTTGTTTGAGTTCATATACCTTCTAGCTTGCTGCAGTGTGCACTTCATCCCTTGATATAAGTACCCCAGTTTCAGAAGTATGTACACTATGTACAACCAAAATAAAGTCATGCTAAATTGTAGATGTGATTAAGTTTATGCCTCTGGCAAGAGTACCATAATAATTCAAGCAAGAATTTTGCCTCTCATGAACAAATGAATTATTAAGGATGTAATGGTTTTCAATGAGTTTCAAATTATCTTTGAGGTTTTGCACATCTTCTACTAAGAAGTTGATAACCATGAAGCTGAACTAAGTTTTTAGCCTTTTTTCTGTGAAAAAGAAACTTCTTTTAATTCTGAATACTATATTCTCCCTTTACCTGTTGTGCTTCCAGAAGCACCATCGTACATTATAGGCCCAAGATGAACTTTTTTTTTAAGCCATAGCAGTAATGACGGTTTAGGTAAATGGAAAAGGAAGCGAATTCTCTGATTTTTTCTTTTCTTTTCTCTTTTTTTCTGATTTTTAACTGATAACTAGTCTTTTCTCTGGTCTTGCTTCTTCATCAAACTTGGCACATTTCTAAATGGAAGAGATGGGGGAGGGCCTTTATCCACCGAGCTGAAGTTGGCCCCAGAGACCTCTGGTTTCCACAACTGTGCAGACAGGAGAGGCAGACCTGGGTGAAATGACAGAGGTTTGGGGGTGGCAAGCAAGGGATCTTCTTGAGATGAGCATTAAGAGGAACCTCGTTAAGGCACAGGATCCTAAGCAATTGCTTACCCACCCCCTTCCCCAGACACACATACAGCAACATTTTGGTGTCATTCTCTAATGCTCTCTTTATTTGGACATCTCTGAGAATACAAGGGAGCCTCTAGTTACATTTCATCTTTTATTAAGCTGTATGCAAGAGTAAAGATTGCTGTAGCTCATACACCTGGCAAGGGTGCTCAATAAATTCTTATTGAAGGATTAAATCTGATAATAAAGATGAGTTTCCCTGAGAACATTGTCATCTATTTTCCTAAAGACTGAACATGAACTTCGAGAAAGAGGACCCTTAATTACTTGTACATTTGCCTATGGTGTTCTACTAAAGGGACTAAAAAAGGGATTACTTTGCTATTCAAGTGTAGTCTGTGGACCAGCAACATCAGCATCACCTGAGAACTTATTAGAAATGCACCATTGGAGTCCACCCCAGAGCTACTGAATCAAAATCTGCATTTTAATAAAATCTCTATTTTATTAAAGTGTACACATGCTAGTCAATCAAACATTTACTGCGTACCCATTGTATACAGGCCACCAATCCAGGTGCCAGGGATTTGCAGATGAATGAGGTACATGTGGTCAAGATGATTAATTTTTCATTGTTGGATGGTTCTACTACCATGTAGAAGTTAGGGGGGAAAAAAAAGCTATGTTCTTCACAGTTGGTCAGAAAGTGGCTTTTGTGTTTCTGGGAACCTTATGCATTCAGATGACATAGTAACTGACTTCTGAGTAAGTAATCTTTATTTAACTTGAGAGAGGCAGAATCTTATTGCATAAGGAAATAAACTACATTTCCATCAGTTAGAGAACATGAAATAAACTTGAGTTTCCAAGGGATTGTTATGCAGTCCTTTCTATTGAAAGGTGTTTAGTTAAGAGGTTACTCAGTATTATCCTTAAATAGCAATTATGTGGTGTTAAGTTACAAAATAAGTGAAAAGGTACAATCTATCCTGAGGCTAGAATATGGACACAACAAAGCAGATATGACTATATTGTGTGTTTATATACCAGTAGATAATAAGTACTGTTCCAAATACAGAACACAGCAAAAAGGAAATGTTCTGCATATTTAAAATAATGGCTTGTTTATTTTGTCCATTGAGATAACTCTTAGTGTAGTATTTGTCATGTTCTGGGCAGGAGGGTAAATGTCTTGTAGCTTTGAGAAGTATTTGAAGTTTAATGGAGGGAAGGGCGTGGAAGGCACTGGAAGAGACAGAGTAGGGAGTGAAGGCCAGTTTGATGACAGGGAGTCAGCCTGAAAGGCGGAGTATGACAAGCTGAGTGATCTCAGGGAAGTGGCAGACAAGAGAAAGATGAAGAGCCGACACATCAGGATCAAAAACACAAGTGCTGCTGTGGGGGTGTCTTCATACTCTGTCTTTTTTGAAGCTCCTCCTCTCCCTGTAGGAGGCAGCCAGAGGAAACCAGATTCTCCTGGTTAAGGCTGTTTACCTCTGGGCCAGTCTGATTTCCCTAGGAATTTAGAATTTGCAGTAGGAAATGCTAATCTCATCGTAGGCAGACCTCTTGACCTGGGAACATATAAACCTAGGAACTGTTGGGTGTTTGTGTGCGTAGAGAAACAGTGAAACCTGATCTACAGAAAAGGTAGGATGAACTAGGGGGAAAGGATCACCTGCCTCCCAAGGGAGAAAAAGCCCAAGCATGTGATGTTCAAGGTTTTCCTCTTCATGCTCCTAGTCCTCTGAGAATCCTGGTTGTTCTGCATTTGAGTCTGACAGAGGTCCCCCTCTCTTTTGTGCTTAAGTTCACCTGAGTGTTTTCTGTTAGTTGTTACTGTATTTGACTGAGCCTAGCCTTGATTGTCTACTTCCTAATTCCTGTCTCTTAAGTTCCTCCTGGATCTGAACAAAGACTGAGAAAGGATGAGCCATGGTCCTGTTGGCACCACTGTGGTGTTGAGCTGAACATAGTCTGGGAAAGGTGAGAACATGTAAAGAAGGAAAGCAGAAAGTATATTTATTCTGTTTAATTTCTTTGGACAGTTTATTCAACAACTATTAGATGTTTTCTCCATACCCAGCACTGTGCAGTGTACTAAGGATATAGTGGTTAAATACAGCAGGCGGTCCCTGCCTCCATGAGGTTACAGCCTCGTGGGGAAGGCAGACATTGAATACTAGCCGTGACATGTGATGAGCATTGTGACACGGGATGTAGGCGTAAATAAAGGGGACATGGTCACAAAGTCTCTCTGAGGAAAGCCCATTTTAAACCCTGCTCTCTATAGAGAATTTGGGGTGACTGCTGACTTGTTTTGTAGTTTCCTGTAAGCTAGTTGATTTTTATGGATTAATGGGAAATCAGAGCATTTCCTTATTAAATATTCTCTCAAAAAAGAATTTCTTCTTAGTGTGTCTCACTGAGTAGCTGCTAATTGCCCGTGACAACCTCAACTTACAACCTACCCACCTGGGAGCCTGCCTGAGCTTGTAAACTGGAGAAGGGCCTTCCTCAGGGTACAGAGTTGAGGTTTCAATTGCAGCCATAATGTGACTACTTGTCTAGGCTTCTAATAGACATCATTTCAACCACCACATTTGCGTCACCCCGCAGAGAAATAGCACGTGAAAAGCACAAGCATTCCTGTTTTCATGCTTTAGTTATTTTGGATTTACTTTACCACCTAGGTTTGCCATTCATAGGGACAGACAAAGGAGAGGTGAGAGGAATCTCAGTACCAGCTAGGGTGGCAGGTGTTGGAGATTTTTCTCACTTTATCAGAGGATTGGGTGTCATGGCTGGGCCTTTATTGCCAGCTTCTCCCCTGGGTATGGAGAATAGCTAAATCAACTTGGCTGCCAAAGATGTAGTGAATAGGAGGCTTGGGAGGGACTGAGTCTCAGGCCAGGGTGTGTTGGAGAACTAGAAAACCTTGGTGGATTGTGAAGTTGCCAGGGCAGGCAGGTGGGATTTACTCTGACTCCAAAATGTTTATGAATTAGTCCCTAAAGCAAATGAGAAGACATTTTTTTTTTTTCAAATGTAGTTACAAATAAATAGGTACATCTCCCATAGCATTAAAATAACCTGCTTAGTCACCTTTCCAGCTCGCTGCCTGGTCTGGAGTTGTGGCTGGGCGCCTGTTTTCACAGAAGTATGGCCACCTTACTGTCTGATCAGTTAACTTTAAAAGTATAGGAACGCAAGTCCTCACTGAAACACATAATTCTGAACTGTCTGCCTCCCAGTTTTTGTCAAAAGCCCAGCTAAGAGAAAGACTGTGGTAGACAGCATGAAGGATATTCAGTGTGACTGCCCATCTAAATCCTGATTTTCCACTTTGTGTTAGCCCTCTGCAGAAACGTCTTTGCCCACCGTGCCCTCTGCTGATGCTGGTGTGCACATTACATGAACTGTTTTGTGGCTCTTTTTAAAATATATTTAATTGTAACATAT